CTGTAACACATGTAACACCTGTAACACATGTAACACCTGTAACATCTGTAACACATGTAACACATGTAACTCCTGTAACACCTGTAACACCTGTAACACATGTAACACCTGTAACACATGTAACACCTGTAACATCTGTAACATCTGTAACACCTGTAACACATGTAACATCTGTAACACCTGTAACACCTGTAACACATGTAACTCCTGTAACACCTGTAACTCCTGTAACACCTGTAACTCCTGTAACACATGTTACACATGTAACACATGTAACACATGTTACACATGTAACACCTGTAACACCTGTAACACCTGTAACACCTGTAACACATGTAACACCTGTAACATCTGTAACATCTGTAACACCTGTAACACATGTAACATCTGTAACACCTGTAACACCTGTAACACATGTAACTCCTGTAACACCTGTAACTCCTGTAACACCTGTAACTCCTGTAACACATGTTACACATGTAACACATGTAACACATGNAAACTAAACACAACTGAAGCCTTGAAAACTGAACACAACTGAAGCTTTGTGTCTTAAACACAACTGAAGCTTTGTGACTGAACAACAGGAACTAAAAGTCAGGAGGTGAAATGTTCTGCAAAGGACAGCATCAATCAGAGGAACACAGACAAACAGGACGGTGACATTAAACCACCGTCTCTTGACATTTTGCATGTTCCTCTCTTTTTTTAATAAAATGAAATGAGACTTTTCTGTGTTTCTGTCAGAATGACACACAAACAACCAGCAACACATTTATGAACATGTGAAACAATGTGTTTGCATTAATTACGACCTGTTTGACCAGGATGCAGGTAGAACAGGTTGTTTCACAGCCACACCTGATTCTATCTCTTTGTGTTCCTGCAGAGCCAAACCCAGCCCAGGATTATGCCGACGGTCCTGACACACTGTGACACTTCACTGCAGGAATGACACACACTCTGATTCTGGTTGGGCTGGATTGTTTCACTCACATGAGGAAACATCAGGCAGAAACTCTTTCAGACTCAGTTTTAGATTTTTATATAAAAACACTCCTTCAGGCTGACGTTGACCTGTTTCCAGGCAGGATTTAGTCTGATGATACTTTTATTTCCTCAACACACTCATAAATCTTGTGCAAACATTTGCCAGGCCCTTAACGGCAGCCTGTCCAAAGTGATTGTTGTTGAGCACAAAGGGCGAGTTGTTTTCTCCTTTCTGAGTCTAAAAAAAGACATTCATGTCTGTCCCCACCACCACAACACTTATTTAACACACAATAAATAAGAAAGTAAATACTATTTTAATTTAAAAAGCATTTTACTTCAACGTACATATTTGACAAAAAGCCTACACC